GCCGGCGGGTACGGATCGCCCTACGCCTATCAATACTTTATACAACAAATGCGAAACGTCCGCAAAAAGCTGCCGTATTCGCGGTCGACTCCGCAGCGGCTATTAATCTGATATCGAAATAACGGGCATTTTTCCCCGCGGTGGATCCGAGCCGAAAAAGAGGCGGGACAGAGCTTAAGCGCGACGCGACCGCGCCGGATTCCGGGATCGCGTGCCCTTTAACGCGGCAGCGACACAGAAACGATGAACGTTCGTCGGAATAAATTTACATTTCGTTGATCCATTATGTGTAACCGACCGCGGATAATCGAAAAACGCGCGAGTTTAAATGTCACCGGATCTCGCGCGGCTCCGACGGAATTATTTTCGCGATTGGTACCCGCGCGTCGAGTTATTTTCACGGTTTCAGAACCACCCTTTTCCGATGAATATTCATGGCCACGGTGGAAACGGTTGTCACCTGTTACTGATTTACACTTCGACCCTTTGTCGATGCGTCCCGGTTAACTTGCGACCAGTGAAAATGGAAAGTTTAACCTTTCGCGGTGCATACGGCAGTTCGGACTGATTGAACTCCTTGGGAAATCCGTGTTATTCGTCTATTTTAATCGACATTTTAAGGGTATTGCGCGGATTTCTTAGATTTTAATTAGTAAAAGGAGGAAAGTTCTTTGTTTTGAATCGATGAAGAATCGTAGTATATAGGGTGACAAAGAAATGGTCCAGGCTATTTGTATATCAAGCGATCGCAAATACTGGACGTTGGGTTATTAAGCATACGCAAGCAGCAATAATTAACGGATATTTTTGGAGGTTTTCATAGTATATTACGGTAAGTGGATTACTTTTCGCGAGTGTGCTGGTAAAAGCATTGTCTATGTAGCGCGGGCCGGGTGAATAGCTAACCCGAAACACGCATACGCGCGGTACGCACGTCGACCACTGCATCATCGTGCACCATCTGCTCGGTAATGACTCCCCATTACCGCGTATAGGGACTTTCGTTGAATTATCGGTACATTTTCAGGGAATCCACGGGCTAGTAGCAGCCGGTGGCCGCGGATAGATCTCGCGGCCGGATCCGTGGGTGTTACGCAGGGGGAACGGAAAGTGTTGCTCTTACTCACTCGTTTTGGAACGCGGCTCCCTTGGTCCGTCCACGGTTACCTTGATGGCCCTGGTATAGGTTGCTACTTGAGGAGGCGTTGTCGACACGGTTATGGTGATGCTGAAGCTCTTTCCTGCGGCAGACAGACGTCGAAAGTTATTATATGCTATCATCAATGTTAAAAACGGTGGATCAATCTTTCAAACCATTTCCTTCATATATCTACAGATTTGAATCTACAAATTCTTCAAGTTCTTTATAACCTCAGAAGCATGTCAAAGATAAATATAGTAAGCTAAGAGGATGAATTTTGGAATAAGATTACTTAACTCTCGCTCAACGAGAGCCGTAATAATGCACCCCATTCAATTTCCCATAAAAGAAAAGGCAGTTAACCTAGTCTAGAAGCTCCGTTCGCCAATTACGATCTGTTCAGAACGCAGACACTCTTACGACCCAATAAAAGTTACTCAATCTCCCTGGAGGCAGCTGAAGGAGGAGCAAAAAGGTCGCTAATTTGTTAACACCAGTTGCTAAAGGAACCAGCGACAGATTGGCGGCTGCGGTCAGGCCGAGCCCCGATCGGAATAGTTCACGATTATCTTCAGCGATTGCATCGGGAACCATTAGATGTCTCGGAAGACCGCGAGTTCCTGCGAGTGACCATCCTCCGCAGAAGAGGGGAGGCAGAAGGCAACGCTTCGGGGGTGGAGCACCGGTGTACATATATCACCGGCGAAGGTCTCGAGGTTGAAGGTCCGGTATATTAATTCCCTCTCCATAAACGTCCGTCGCCGAGATTGACTACGCTCTTTTAAACGGCCCATCGCGCGCTAATATGCATTCGGTAATTCGCCGCCTGTCCGGGTTCAACGAAGCAGCCACCACCCTTGTCCCGGCCGGCTGGCCGCTCGGCAAAGAGTCAACCGTGTTATATGCTTCAGGAATGTTACTTTGTGTCGGCAGGGTTCGGCCACTTAAAAATAGATTGGCTCCGCGGGAAGGAGGTGTTGATCGTTTTTCGAACGCCAGGCGACACCTGAGCAAGGCAACTGGTAGCTAAAACTCTGAATGATTCTTGGAACCGGATCAATGGACATAAAAATTGATTAATCTATAGCAAAGAGGATTTACTGAGGAGAAATGACTAACAAAATGCTCTCTACAGAATTGGAAGATATGAATCTAGAGTCGAGCAGAGGTCAAGAATCAGTGAAGTAGAATTATTCCCTAAAAGATTCATAGATCTCGCTACAGTTTAATGATGACTAGAACTACTTCATAGTGAAATGTGAAATGTCTGTAATATCCTTCAAGGACGAGAATCAGTGTGTGCCACTGAATACCCTAGGGTGTCGCGGACGAGGTTGTAAAGGTCGGGTTGCACGGTCAATCGGGAAAATATGAAGGAAAGCGTCGGTTTGCGTTAAAGAGAGGATATCTAACGTGTCGCGGACATATAGTCGTTTGTGTTGGCGTAAACGTCAACGATTTGTAATTGTCTCCCCTTGGCGCGCCCTGGTCCACCTCGCTGTGTCTGTCAACATGATAACCGGCATCAAACACCCCCAACCCCGCCACCCCCGGGAGCTGCAACTGACTGCAGAGAGGCACGGCGTTATATCCTAGTTATAGCGTGCTCTCTCCCCCGCGTGCAACCGC